CAGCCTTAACTATTTACAAGCATTAATTGGTACAAAAATCAACTTTACTGTGGTGCAATGTACATGCAATAAAATACTCCCATTTTAATAGTACATTTCCATCAGTTTTGACAAATTGCTCTGCTGTGTAACCACTGTGATTGGATCTTTTTTTTTATTTATTTATTTATTTATTTTTTTTTTTTTTATCCTCACCCGAGGGCATTTTTCCATTTTTTGTACAGATAGAGAGGGAGGGAGAGAGAGAGAGAAACATCGACGTGAAAGGGACACATCGAGTGGCTGCCACCCGCACGACCAACCAGGGCCGGGGACAAACTGCAACCGAAGTACGTGCCCTTAGCGGGAACCGAACCTGGGTCTCTCCGGACCACAGGCCAATGCTCTAACCGCTGAGCCAAACCAGCCAGGGCATGATTGGATCTTTTAAAAGAAGACACCAACATTATCCTGCTAGAGCCATTTCGCATGAACACAAACACAGACCTGCGCCCTTGAAACGCAAGAATTCCTCGCACAGCTCCCCTGGCAGCTGGCATTGCAGTCTCTCCTGAAGCACTTTCAGTGCCCAAGCATGTATTATTAAGACAAGCCATATCCCACATTCCACGTCAACAACCACAATCAAGTGTGAGAAAGTGTTCTCTCAAACCTAATACCTGCTCACCTGGAGCAGCACAAGGTTAGAAGGCCACAGACTTTGCCTTTCAGATAACCGTACATAGTCACTCTCACCCTCTCTTATCCACCCTGTAACTTCTCCAATCTAAACAGTTCCAGTGGTTTCCCAAAGTTTCCAGAACCCTCTCCCACCTGCTCACTCTTCCCTGAGGCTCGCCCGCTGGCCTCCTGAGTGGCCATTGTGTGCAGTTTGACCTGGGCAGAGCGCTGAGACAATCGCCTCCTAGATCTCTACTCAAATATTTGCTAAGTGCCCAGCATGTGCCAGGCACTTATATATGAGTAAGACTCTGTACCTGCCCTCAGTAAGGTCACATAATTCCATTAGTGCAGCCTAATTAACGATTTTAACTATTGTTTTAGGGTCACGGCTCATACTGAACTTGGAATGAATTAATAAAGTTCGTATATATTTCAGTCAACTTAGGATAATTCCTTCCAACCTAAGTGCAGGGCTTTACGAGGTCCCTGTTAGCTTTTATTACTTTGATTTTTGCCTTATTACAAAAAATGAACATAAGAACTCTGGCAAGATATTAACTGTTGTTAATACCAAGGTGATTAATAATACTTCGTAGAAAAACAAAGGCGTTCTCTTATTTCTCATTAAAATTACAAACAGTTTTTGAGTGAAGGGTGAGTTAGTCTGTGTGGTTTAACCTATGGTGATAAATATATTGTTTAAGTAAAAGCCAAGCTGTGTTGTATCATTTCATGGTAGCACACCGTGTGATGGTAAATGAGGGCATAACTTTTCTTTTCTTTTTAAATTGCAAATGCTTTTCTTGGCAAACTCCTATTCATCTTTTAAGGCCAAATGCAGATGGCATCACTTAGGTGAAGACTTCCAGATTTCTAAAGAGAAGAACAACCTCTCTCTTCTCCCTTTGCTCTGAGCTCATTACTATAGCCTGCTGCTGGGTCACTTACCCATTTTTCATGTCTGTTTAGGGTGACCAACCATCCTCATTTGTTAGAAACTGTCCTAGGTTTAGCACTAAAATTCCCGAGTCCTGGAAAATCCTTCAGTCCTTAGCAAATCAGAAAAATTGGTCACTTTACATACAGTGTGTGACCATTTAATAAAATAGCCATCATTTAGGAGGGGCCAAAGCCAAGTACTTCATAAACATTATCTTAGTTTTCTAATTTAAGACAACACTAAAGGTAGTTATCATTACCCTTTTCTAAAGAAAAAGAGAGGAATACAAGAGCCCCACGGCTGTGGCTCAGTGGTTGAGCATCAATCCATGCACCAAGAGGTTGCAGGTTCAATTCCTGGTCAGGGCACATGCCCAGGTTGTGGGCCCAATCCCCAGTGGGGGGCATGCAGGAGGTGGCCAATCAATGTTCTCTCTCATTGATGTTTCTATCACTTTCTCCCTCTCCATTCCTTTCTCTCTAAAATCAGTAAAGGAAAAAAAAATTTTTTAAAAAGAGAGCCCTGGCCGGTTTGGCTTAGCGGTTAGAGTGTCGGCCTGCAGTCCACAGAGACCCAGGTTTGGTTCCCGCTAAGGGCATGTACCTCGGTTGCAGTTTGTCCCTGGCCCTATTTGGGTCATGTGCGTGGCAGCCACTTGATATATCCCTTTCACGTCAATGTTTCTCTCTCTCTCTCTCCCCTCCCCCCACTCTACCTGAACAAAAAATGGAAAAATGTCCTCGGGTAAGGATAAAAAGAGAGAGAGAGAGAGAGAGAGAGAGAGAGAGAGAGAGAGAGAGAGAGAGGAGTCCAAGAGAGGTAAGTAACTTGCCCAACCGAGATCACAGGGGCACCTGCAATTGAATCTACGTTTGCCTGAGTCACACCACCACACTGTATTGCCATCTTAGGGCCTGGTGGCAACTCTACACAGCAAGCTCTCAAAAAATATCATGAAATTGATAATTCTATATTATCTTCCTTCTACCACTCACTGCCAGCTAATATGCCAGGATTGGTCCTTGAGAAAGCTACCAGGCATTTTCAGGACAGCCCACATGACAGGAGGAACATATAAAACCCCATTCACATGCACTGCTTTTAGCCTAACTTGCTTTTATGTAAGTGCCACCTGAAGTTGTAAATGCCAACAAATTCAACTTGCCTCACAAAGATAACATGGGACCTTTCATGACTGGCCCATTTAAAACTCTTGGCTACATGCAGAAGAGAAAATCCAGCTGTTAGGCCAGACCTAAGGGTTGTCTTCAGGTGGGACTTCCGGAGGTGGTGGGACAGAGCAGAGGGCTGGGAAGACAGGCCACAGGTCTTAGCAAGACAGCACTCCTTGCCATCTGTTGACACAGGAATTTGGGAAACATTACTTATTCAATTTCCTCCTGTGTGGTATGGGTTACATTTTAGAATTTAAATACTCACTGCCTGCACTCACACAGTATTTTTTTTTCCTACATGGTTGCAGTTGTAACTTTGATGACCAGGAAGTATCGTCCATCTTTGGCTTTTGACCTTCTCTTTTTTTCTCTAACCAAACACCAAATTCTCACTCCAGGATTATAGGGGTTAGGAAGCAACCTCCCCACCCTCATCTCCAAGTTAAAAGAAGTGGAACTATGGGGACCTCTTTTATTTATTTTTATTTTTTATTTATTGATTTAAGAGAGAGAGAGAGAAACATTCCATCCATTTGTTGTTCCACTTATTCATGCTTTCATTGGTTGATTCTTGTATGTGCCCTGACTAGGGATGGAACCCACAACCTTAGCATATCAGGATGAGGCTCTAACCAACTGAACTACCCGGCCAAGGCTATGGAGACCTCTTTTAAAACAGAAGTTCTAGAAGTTCTTGAGAGAGTTCAAGAGTTCTAAGAATGCAGGGCACCCCACCCCACCCACACATCCATCGCGAGCCTCCATTGTATGGAGATGCCGCACGCGCTATCTCAGGTCCCCCCCAAAGGCACCAGAGGTCCCCCTCCTCCCCTGGGGTGCGCCGTCTGGCTCCCGCTGGAGGGGGAGGGTGAAACTAGGAGCCACAAACCCAGCCCCGGCGCCACTTCCATGGTTAATCAGTTTACCCGTGATGTGTATTTGGCTGGATCCCCCTGGGGACCTTCCTTGGCCACCCAGGGTCAGAGAATAATTTAAAAGTTCTTCAAAGCCCGGATCCTACTCTGAGCCAGCCCAAGACTGGAAACTTGGGAGGGACAGGCTTTACTCTTCAAAGTGAGAACAAATGTGAAAGGATTTAGCACTTAGTAGGTAGTCAATAAATGTTAACTTTGTTTCTTCAGTCTGGGCTTCCCCTCCCCCCACAAAAGCCAACGCCATCCACTCCCGATCCGGGACCAGAGGTCGTTTGCATTTTTAACTAGAAGTTGCCACTTCCTTTTCCCTCCCAACCCAAAGCGCCTAGGCCCTTTCTCAGACTTCAATTTGTTCATCGGTAAATCAGAGCAGGGGGCACACGTCTGGCGTCTTTCCCAGGTGTGACATTCAAATGAAATATTAAATCGGGGTTAGATTATGTTTTCTAACCCCAGCCCTTGGGACAAGAGGAAGTTAAACACGTGGATGCTGCGGCAAAGTCTTCGTTCAAGTCAGGTATTATAAAGAAGTCCCTTTGAGCTTCCCATATTCCTGGGCACTGACAAGGCCTACATTTAATGCACCCCTGGCAGACGAGCACAATGCGACAATACGCTCTGGCCCGGAGGCACCCACATGGTGCCGGCCCCAGATCAACCCATCTCCACCGCTCCGGTCCCTCCTTTGTTCCCGGTGTGAAATCCCCGACAGGAAAATCATCTGCCACCCCGAGGGATCCTCCAACTGGGCGGCCAAATGGCCCAGAAGATCTTGGTTGCCAAGCTGATGTAATCAGTTCCCTGTGGAGGACGCTGAGGGAGGGCCGGGGGGAAATGGGGGCAGAAACCCAGCGATCGCCAGAGCCGGGCACCGAGGGCTCCCTGGATTGCTCCTCTCTGGTGAGCCCGTCGGCCTCCAGCAGGCACACTGCTGGGCGCTGCCCAGGCGCACGGCGCGGCCGGCCAGCCCCGACGTCTGGGCTGCTCCCAGGACTCATTCAGAACCTGACACCTGCAATCTTTTCTTTCAGAAAGGGATCTAGAGGGCAGGCCGACCCTCTCTTAACAGAATTTGGGCTCTTTGGGGCTGTGACCTTCACTACCACCATCTCCCGCGCCGCCAGCTTCTACCTTCCTAGTTGGTATGTTTTCCTTGGAAAGCCACGCATAACCCCCTCCGCCCCTGCCACCCCCCACCCCCCGTGAAAATTAATGCCCCCAAACAGGGCTCTGGGGAGCCTCTGTTCCGGTCCCCATCCGGCCCCGGTACTCGCGCTCAGTACTCACCGAGATTGGGGTGTCGAGCGGCAGGATTGGCGCGGCCGGGCAGGCTGTGCAGGACTGGACTGTCGAAGGGACCCGCGGAGGCGGCGGCAGCGGCGGCCCAAGACGCGCCCACGTCGGCCATGTAGGCCGGGTAGGGGCTGGAGTAGGAGCCTGCGAAGCCCGCACGCCCGTACTGCTCGCGGCCCGGCAGGCCCGCGCCCGCCGCCCCGCCGCCACTGCTGTAGGCCGCGGCTTCCCGGGCCGCGGCGGCGGCGGCGGCAGCTGCCAGGGACCCGGTGGTGCCCGGGAAGGAGAAGCGCGGCGACACGGGCGGCGGGGTGTAGGCGGCTCCCTCGGCTCCAGCCTGGCTCCAAACCGGGCTGCCCTGCTGGGTCCCTGGTCCAGCACCCGACGGGGCCGCACCTGAGCTGCCGCTGGAGGAGGCTCCGGACGCAGCGCCCCCGCCTCCGCCCTGGAGGTAGGACAGGCCCAGCACCGAGGAGGGCACCCGTGGCGTGGGCACGTAGACAGGCGAGGATGCAGCGCCCGCACTGTGCATGAAGGCACCCGGGCCGCCCGCCTCGTAGGCCCCCGGAGGGGGGCCGTGGTTGGCGGCCATGGCCAGACTCTGGTACATTGTCTCTGCGAGCTCTCAGCCTGAGTCCTCTCACTCGCGAGTCAAGGAGCAATGAGTGGAAAGAAAAATAATAATCACAAAAACAAAAATGTACAGGTGAGGGACTGTCACAAAAACGAAGATCAAAAATCAAAAGTTTTTTTTAAATCCTTCAAAAATATATACGTATTAAATCCATCATTGAGCAAAAGACTTGTTTACTCAGGAAAATTCCAAATTAAATTTTTGGTTGTTCCCGGAGATGGTGGAGGAGGGGCCAAATCCACCCCAGGGTCTGGAGATCCCGAGCGCCTAGGGGCGGCAGAAGATGCAGGGTAGGGCCCGGCGCGGTGTGGAAAACGGGCCTTCGGGTCACGTCGGGAGCTGTCGCTGCTCACAGTCTCCAGGACACCGTGGCCTCGGGCGCAGGGTGCAGTAAGCTGGCTCCAAAGCCGAGGGCCGGGCTGGCTCCTTTCCTCCTCGCTGCAGCCACCGTCCTAAAGGAGGAAAGAAAAATAGGGAGGTAAGTTCATCCTGAGCTTTCAGAGCTCACTTCCCCTAGGCTTGGCTCTTCCTCCCGCATTGCAAACGCAATCGCCATTCTCAGGCCCAGCTTTGGAAGCCACGCGGTTCCAAGGGAAGTTTCCGTCTTTGTTTTTCAGAGGCCGTGAGGTCTGGCTGACCCTTCGGGGAGGGGTCCCTTGGAGATGCGGACTTCCCAATTATTGGACATAAAATTATTGGTTGTGATTTAAGCCAACATTTTCATATTGCTTGTCAGCAAGGACTTTATTTTACCCTATTTTTAATGCATATTATTGTCAGTCTTTTACAGTCCAAGAGTTTGGGGTTTCTGTGGCGTGCCCCGCCCAATTTTCACTTATCTTCTTGGTTTCCCCACCTATTCCTAAGCATACCTGGCCATGAAGGAACTTTACATTGCCCATGGAAGACAAAGACAAACTTTATAAAACTCAGCGACCTAAGAAATTTTTGTTTGTCATCTTCTTTTTCAACTAGAAGTAGAATCTAAATTCTATAAATGAGCAGTGTCTGCTACATCTCAGTGAAAAGAATTGTGAAACCTCTTATCCACACACTATACCATGTGGACATCAAGACAAACAGGATATAAGTTTCTTGCAAATAGTTATATTCTAGAGACTTTGCAGTTTGGATATTAAGACCAGGAAATTGAGAGGAATGTACAAGGTCACTTTACAGAACTAACCACTGGACCATCCCAATTCATTGAATGGGCTTTTCACATACAATCATTGGTCCACCCATGTCTGGAATCAGAACACCAATGAGACCAGCAAAAAACAGTTTGTAGGACTTGATTATATCCTCGCATCCTGTGTTTTGATTTTACCAGGTACTTTTTCTGATAAAATAAGAGTTCCACATTCTGAAGCACTTGATCTGTTCCAGGTTCTTTTCTTCACAACTCCACTAAGTAATAGTGTCTTTCCTCATTTTACAAAACAGGGAAATGAAGCATCGGAAAAAGTTTTGAAACGTCGAAAATCAAAGTGCAATTAAAGGTGATGAGGGTAGGGGATCTGTAGGGCTGCAGGGGTTTGAGGCCGTCCACTATAATCCCACTTTTCTACTTAAGAAGAGGCAGCTACTCCTTACAGTGGTTGGTTTGTTTTTTGCCATTGCAATACTAAACTTACAAAGATATTAACTGAACTATCTACTAAATCCAGGCTCTACTATTTACTGAATGAATGACTTTAGACGCATTACTTAACTTCTCAGTGCCTCAGTTTCTTCATCTGCAAAAATGTAAATATTAACAGTATGTACCTTCCAGAGTCATAGTAAGAATTCTAAATCAATGTATGTAAAGCCTCTTACAGCAGGGTCTATATAAAACATAACAAACACAAAAAAGTTCTACATAATTGTTGTCTATTATTATTATCACAGATTTCTAATGTACCATAAAAAAGTGCTGCAAATGTTAATAGTACAGATAAATGGTTATCTTTATTATTTGTAAAAAAAAAAATTGTGGAAATGACAATTTTTAAGTGCTTTTAACCATTTTTGCAACATCGCTAATAATGATAATGGAATTAATATAGAGTCACTTGCTGACTTCTAAATATTTATTATTTGCTTTCTAAACTATACAATAAATTATTAGTTTGGTGCACATTTCCTTCCAGTCACAAGTTTGGTTAGAGGGTGGATACAGAAACTTTGCCCTGAGATCACCAACTTTCCTCTTTGAAATTGAAGGCAAAAAACTAACACCTCATAGGAATTTCTGGGTTTCAATAAGTAAATACACAGGTTTACCTTAATAAAATATTCACTATTTAACTTTTAAATCAAATAGTTGACCTATTTCATTATATTTTCTGTAATACTCAACTTCGACTGTTCTGAAACATAATGTCGTGAGTTTTTTCTCACCTAACTGCAAGAATGGAAGGTTTATAATTTTGTAATCCAACTTCAAACATACATATAGATGCTAACTTACAAGCTTTAAAATGTCAAAGCTAAAAATGTCACAAATCTAACATTTGTCTTTCTTCCATTCTCTGCCTTTTAAAATGGCTGATGCATTACCTCAGAGTTGGATTACTGGACAATAAAAAGTGGAGCAAATACCCCTCTATAGCGTCCTGAAAAAACAAACAAACAAACAAAAAACAAGACATTAACTATTTCCTTAAAATTACTCTTGCTTGCCTGCCTTTGAGTCCTGATCCAGGCGACCGCGGAGGGAGCCCGGCAAGTTCCAGAGAAAGGCAGAGATCTGGCCTCTCTGTGGGGCCCGGGCCTGCGCCCCAATTTTCCTTCTACTTATGATCACGTATCCCAGTTCACCCCCATTTCACAGGCCAGACAGGAAATGCTTTCTATCTTCGTGATTTAGTCCACAGCCCTTTTCCGATCTATTTCTGCGAGCCTGAGGATCCAGAGTGCCAGAAGGTTCGCGTCCATTTGCAAGTCACTCAACTCGCGCCTTCGCTTTGGGCCTGCTGCGCAGAAAACTGTCACCCACGAACGCGCTCAGAAGTGTGGAGGGCAACCCTCGTCACCCTCAACAAAACCTTCCTGTCTTGAACAGACTGAAACCTGCTCCCCGCTGCTCATTCCATTTCTGAGAAACGTAGGAAAGACTTCCCTGAGGCTCTTCCCCAATCTCCCCCGAGGCGCCAGCCTTGCTGCCCGATTCCCCTCTGGGCTTGGGCCCCTCACTACTCTCTTCTCCCAACCGAAAGGTCCCTCGTTACCTCAACGTGGTGGCAGCTCACCCCTGGGACATTCTTCTCTCCCTTGGATGACCTCCGCTCCCACCCCGCAGCCCAAAGCCAAGCGACGTAAAATCGTGGATCCCGGCCGCAAACTGGCCAGCAGAGGGACATCACTGTTCTCCGCTCGGGTTCCAGCCCTCAGTTAGTGTCACCTAGAAGCGCTGTGGGTGAGTACGGTTGCCTGGGGGGGGGGGGGGGCATTTAGCTTCTAGCACCCCAGTCTGTAAGGCGAGGAGGCTGGTCAGAAGAGCATAGAAAATCTGGGAGCTCAATAGCTGGGACTTCAGAGCGCCTCCCCAGGGCCTCTGCCCCCCCCCCCCCCCCCGCCACTCTGTGTCCCCGGAATCGCCAATGGGCGACACTCTTCCGTCTGAGACCCTTTGCGTTCGAGCTGCCGTGTGGCCTGCCCCGGGTCTGTCGGTCAGGGTGACTCCATACGGCCATCAGCACCACCCAGACCCTAGTCTGCGAGGTGCAAACAACGGCTGGAGAATCTGCACGCGGGGCGGAATTAAAAACGTTCAAGTTCACACCAAAACAACTCAAAAGAAACTTCGAAGATCCCTCTCCGCTTTCCTCCCCAAATCTTACTTTGTTTTAAAGAAGGTGGTAAGCCAAAGGTGGAGCAGGTTTTGGCTTATTTGGAGGAAGAGGAGTGACCAACGTCTCCTTTCCCCCTACTAGTTATCTCTCTATTCCCAGGCGAACCAGCGCGAAGGAGTCCGAGTGTCGCGGTTGGCGGGAAAGGGCAAGGTCTGAGAAGAAAAAAAGCCCTACCTGCGGGGACTGGAGCTTCCAGGACGGCCGGCGAGCAATCTCCTGGGCCCAGGAGCTTTGGCGGCGGCGGAGCCTCTCGCAGCCACTGTGCCAGCCGCCTCCGAGTCCCCTAGCTCGCCGCCTGGGTCCCCTCGCCCCTGCACTCCCGCTGGTCGCCGCTGACTGGCCCGTGGGAGTCACGTGCAAGGGCGGGGGCGGGGGTGCGGCAGGCTGCAGCACCTCCACTGGGCGTCAGGCTGCAGGGCAGTTCTAAAAACTACCCCAGCAGGCAAAGTCCAGGCGCAGAGAACTCCTCGGAAAATGCGAAAGTGCTGCCGCCAGGGCGCGGGGCTTCACCCACAGCCCTGTCAGAGGTCGATTCGGTTTGCAGTTTTGCCCAGAGGCAGCTTTATTAGTGACACCCTCTCTCTCACCCTCCTGCACCCTGCCTCCTGGTGGTCGGGAGTTTGCTGCAGTCCTGGACGCGGTGGGGGAGAGGCACAACTGATAGAAGGGAAGGTGACCCCCTATCCGGTGTAGGGCCCTGGGTCACCAGGAGTGCCCGGCCGGATACAGGTCTCCAGAGGGTAGTGGGTTGTGGGGATTCTCCTGGCCCGGGACTCTGGATAGGTGGAAGAAACACCAAACCTGGGACTAGCCCCTCAAATCAGAGCTCGGAGACCGAAACCTCCTTTTCGCCTTCTCAGCAGCTTCCCAGGTTGCAGGGCGCTGGCTCCAGCCCTCAGTTTTATGTATTTATGCAAAATGTGCACCCCTGCCTGGTGACGCTTCCCATCTCCTGCGGCCTCTCCTTTCAGATCTTTCTGTTTTCAGTGCAACTAATCCCAGGCACTTGGGGGCCTGGGGAGCTCGGCAGTCCAGCGGGACATCGCCAAGAGGTGTCAGAGTGCAGCCTCAGCCTCCTCCCTCAAGCCGGGGCAGGAAAGGTGGCAAGCCCAGGTTTGGAGTAGGCGTCAGTGCCTAGAGGCCCCAGCACAGCGGAGCTGTGAGCCGGAGAGTCCCTCAGACAGGTCTAAAGGTTAATAGAGCAATCACAGGGCCCTATTACCGCGTAAAAATAACCCATCGATTACCGCAGCCTTCAGCTTCAGATAACAGCCGGCCGGTGGCTCTCACGCTTTCGGTTACACTTTTTTTTCTCTCCCTAGCGCAGGCTTCTCATACCAGATTATACCACCCTTTGTGAAACCTGTGCAGCTCCGAAGGAAGGGTAGGAGTGACACCCGCTTCCGCAGTTGGTAATGGTC